TAAAAGGTATTTCAGTCCAATGATATGTCGGTCTTTTAAAAATATCAAACCCATAATTGGCTCATATTCGAGTAATACCAGTTTGTGAGTAAAACCCTGTCAAGTATCACTGACACTTTGTCTTTCTACTGCTGAAAAATGTAGACTGTCGAACCATGAGCAACGCCACAGAAAGTTTTTGAGGTATTGGAGGTTGACACAACCCCATTTCTTCCTTGTATGGAGCCGCCATGCACATATCCTTAAAGCCAACCACATCGAATGACCAGAGGGGGGTGGACACAGAAATTAGCTACAAGTATTCCCAGGCAGGGTCTGTCATACAGGCATCAGGTCCTTTTTAATTGGTAAGATGTCCCACGTCAACCCATCACCATGTGGAGCATGTCCAGATGGAAGAAGAACACGAGTAACCCAGTGACTAGAGACAAAGGATGGAGCAAATCAAAGGTAAGAAGAACTTTTACATTGTTCATAGATCATTTCAGGCAACATCAACAGAATATCTCTAAAAACATCAGAAAAACACACCTTGTCTTCTCCACGCCGAGGAAGATTTTCCAGTTATTCAGCCTGCCGTAGTTGAAAGGGTTTTTGTATACCTTGAAGAGCAGTTACAAGAAAACAATATGAGTAATTAAATCTTTGTTATGTTTTACACATTTCCTTTAATTGAGGATTTCATAAATATACACCCCAACTTATCCCAAGAATGATTTGAAAACTTGATTATCTAACATAATTACCCTTCCCCGTTTTGTCATTCGCTTTGTTTCTTTGCTGTTGATGTGTCTTTCGATGCTGGTCTCTCCTCTGGATATGAGAACTGCATGCCAAAATGTCAGAGCTCCTAGGGCCACTCCCACTGTGCTGCAAGAACACAAGACACTTATTTGATCCGTTGCCAAGGTAATAAAAGCCAACAACCCCTTTCACACTTCCACACAAGGTTTGTGATTTATGGGACACTGTGTGGACTTAACATGAGAGAAATCATGGTGGAATATGGAATATGTACAAAAGTGTCTTATCTGTGTCTTATCTACTGAACAACATGAAACCTGCTTAGCTTGTTGTATGTATTAGGTAACATTGGGTGGCATGGTTTTATAAATTGCAAGTGACAACTTGTAGATTTTACCTGGTAAGAACCCACATGTAGATGATGCTCTTATTAATCATCTTTTCCTTAAAAGTGTACTGTGGTGCAGGTGTCTGATAGTTGGTCTTGAAAAAATGAAAAGAGGAAATGTTAGACAGTGATAATAAACAAAGACAACAGTAGTTGCATTGTATGAGTATTTTGAGACTGTACCTGGCCAGGGGGGAGCAGCCCTATAAGAGGTCCCATCCCTGTTACTGGTACCCCTGGCTTTTCCATATCCAAATGCTTAAAGCGCTAATGGAACAGCCCGAATAAACCCAAAAGTTGAAGACAGAAACATGAGATGTTAGTCAGTCAGGTAACATTTAAGCCCTACAGAGAGAGACACCTGACACGGAGGAAAAGTCACCGAAAAACCCAGACAAGAACAAATTTAAAAGCAGCCCTGCGGCCAACATCAGTCTCACAGTGTGCTGTCAGTCAGAGCCTCTCACCTCAATGGCATTGTACGCATCCAGGAACAGGTTCCTGCCACTGACGCTACAGTAAACACAGCCAAGTGTCATGAAGAGACAGAAGGAGAAGAAGTAACGGTGATTAAAATGACCCACGCAGTTATTTAACCACGCTGAGATGCTGACATTAAGGCAAACCACCATCTGTTTATTCACTGTCGAGTTCTATGACTTCTGATTCAACAAAATTGATAATAAGTGCAAAGGATACGACAATGATGGTCCATTTTCAGAATGCACCTACAGAGGGAAGAGAGAATTTCAGTTTGATACTTAAAAAGACAAAGCGATTTTTCTCTCCTCTGTTAACAGACTATCTATAACTATAGTACCCTAAGTGCATGTGGAGCCTCTCCAAGGACAAATCACTCCCCGATAAAGAAATTATAGAAGAAAAGAAAAATGACTCACCTGTTACAGATACCACAGTGGTGGGTTCTTGCTGGTTTGGGCATGATGCACTTTTTGCAGACTGCCACAAATGGACTGTCATTTTTTTCCTGGTAAAAAGGTAAATGTAGGTTTAGTTTAAGCCCATTTAGAAAAGTTATTTGCGCTTCTGCTAAAAAGTGAAGTTGACGGCTTACAGTGGGGAGGAACCCGGGTGAGGTCTTGGCAGATTTGTAGTAGTGGAAAGCAATCATGACGAGATTCCAATGTCCATAACAAATGTGCCAAGCGATCCATGGAGGGGAGTACGTGTTGAGGACCAGAGGCAGTAGAACCATATAGGCTATCACCAGGATGGAGCTGGTCAGTATCACCACCAGACAAACAAACACCTTCCAGACAGAGACAGTGGTTAACCACACAAACATTCCTGTAGCTAATCAAATGAGCACATAAACAAACACAAACTCACTGTGCCAAACCAGCGGGTGACATAATCCACAGTCCAAAACACTGGCTCAAAGACTGAGTCGAACACCACATCTGAGTCAGTGAGAGAGTTAAAGCAAAGTGACTGCACCAGCAGTCGTAGGTAGGCCCATGTTTCCCTGATCCATGGGGGCAGCCTGTTCTTTCCTCTCCTGGTGCAGGAGTGTGACCGTACAAAGCGCAGCAGGTGCAGCACAGAGATGGGACACCACCGCATACTGCATCTGTAACAAACACGCACCTGCAGGAAAAATGAGAGAGAGTAAACAAAAGACTCTCACAGCGAAGTTAAAAGACATGCAACTCCGAAAATATTAGTATTAGTAGTAATAGTAGTTCTGTTTTGATTAACTGTGAATCTGTCAAGACTCATTACTTTATTGTCATATCAAAGGAGTTGACTGGAATGTGTCTCTGCGAGCTAAACCGAACACAGACATGAAAACACACAATCCTTTCACCTGCAGCCGAGTACTTTATATCAAACTTACCATTTGAGAGTCAGTCAACTTGGATGTTCATTTTTGTTTGTTAGCTAAGTTGTTCTCTCCATTATCAGCTAACACTTAAACTCCACGAGGTTCGTTTATAGTTTAACAGACACACACAAAGAAGCCTGGTGAGGAAACTGAAATTACAGAGAGGTGCTGTGTTCTGGAACAAAGTCTGAAACATGCATCCTGTCTCTCTACATTCCGGACAGGGTGGAGCAGCAGGGTGGAGTCTGGGTGCAGGTAGGTGAGACACCTCAGGTTGGATCAGGGGGCAGAGCTCCGGACAGAAGTTGACTCTTTGGAGCATCAGCAGCATTTAGCTTCCCTCCATCAGACTCTGACTGGTTCACAGACTCGTAGAGGACAGTTAGCTGTAGCTGCAGCCCCGTGAAAACCTTGACATTTAATGCAGCCATCACACCCGGAGCTGTGGATCGTCTCTCTGCATCGCGACCCTCCTAAATCTCTTTTGTTTGGATGTCATCCGAGGTTTTAACACCCGACGCTGCGGCTCGTTTCTTCACAATTGATTGGATTTCAGGGTTATTTCTGATAATACTTACTGTTCTATAAAAGCCAGACACCCACAGACAGCAACCCTCCGGTCGACATTTCCAAAAGGAGGTAAAAACTGGATTTATTCCCTCATTTTAGCGAAGAGCAGCAGGACCTGCTCTCCTCTGACAGCGAACTGGTCCTGATCCCGGAGGTGATGCGCATGCGCGGGGGCGAGAGGCGCAAGGCATCATGGTACTCCGAGTCCGGAAACATATAACGATTCATTTCTCGACTATCTACCTTCATTTTACACTGTAATAAATATCTACACTTAATTCTACACAAAGATGTTTGTGTGTATGTGTCGTTTACCTTTATTCATTTAAAATGAGTTGAATAACCTGCTGTCAGCGACTCTGGCCCTAGGAATTGTGGGACTTGTGGTTCCACCACGGAGCGGCTGTGCTAGCTTCACTTGCTCTGCAGTGTGCTCGCCATGTGGACTCTGGAGTAAACAGGCTCCTCGTGTTAGGTTTGGTCATCATGTCATTTTGCTTTAACTTCGACGTCCCGACACAAAGTGTAAACTCGGACGAAGCGCGTGGACTCGACTCGCAAAACGGCAAGAAAGCCAATGCTGCTCCAACTGTAAGTAATGTTAGTCCAGTAATAATGTAGGTTAACAATGATTAACTCAACATACTCGAAACTGTAGGGGGTGATGTCAGATTGCAGTTTTCAGACTAATGCTAACTTGCTGCTGTTATTGGACAGATTATGCACAGACAGGGCCGTGTGTGAATCCGTGAGGTCTGGGGGCTGGAGAGGAGGAACAGGATCCTCGGTGTGTCTGTGGGGTTTTTACTGTAACAGCTTAATGATTGTAGAACCAACAACACTGCCATTTTTATTCACAATGGAAAATATCAATCCACAAGTCAGATGAGGAGAGCATAAAAAAAACACCCAAATAATAATGTGATTTTACATATATACGTGCATAGTATATGGACTACATCTCTAAACTTGCTTATCCTATCTAATGGTATAGAAATAAACCATGGTGCAAAGTAAAATTGACAAGAATTTATATTTTAAAAGATTCAGTGACAGATGACTTGATTTGATATGTCAAGTGTTGGTGAGAAAACACAAGAACTAAAAGTAATTACTGAACTCAGTGATGAAGTAGGTTTCTGTATGTTCAACTTGTATTCATTAATATTTCTTTTTTTTACTCTAAAATCTAGAATACATTTTTCTTTCTCCAAGTCTAAACACAGACCTGTGTTCTGGTCCAAGCATTTTGAGTCGCCTCTCAAATGGAACGCGGAGAGAAATCACGGGCACACACACACACACAGGTCACATATGCAGAGCATCTAAAAATTTTCCACTGTATGAGTAATTCCATTTCTGTTTGTCAACAATGAAAATTCTCCTGTTCATTTAACCACTAGAGCACGTAGGTTGACAGGCTCCGTACCAGCATTGACATCACAGCGCCCTCATGTCAATAGAGTCATTATGGAAATCATACATGTCCACATTGATGGTTTATGACTGTACCAACTGTTATTGTACGTCAGACCGCAAAGTACATAAGAATGTGATGAATTTGTCATTTGACCTTTTTTATCTATACTGTTATGGTCTGGTATAGAGGTGTAAGAAAATTGAGTGACTATTAAATACATATAACAAAGTGAGGGAGATTGTCTGTAGAAGCTTTAAAGTAAGTAACAGTTCAGGTCTGCATGGTTATAGTTCATTTAACCTCACAACTTTCATTTACTTGAAATATGAATTTGGAACCTTTTTACTAATTTTTACGTAGTATGTTTAAACATAACTTGTGTATTTTGCAGCACAAACCCTCAATACTGTATTTTTCAGAACCAGGACAATACCAAACCAGCAGAGCCACTAAAAGAGGCCAAAGAGCACCTTCTACCATCTGACCCACAGTTCCTCCTTGTGGACGCTGTCCCTGAAACACTCACTATCGGAACTCTTCCTCCTCTCCACTTCCTCAATGAGACTGTTTTCGAGAAGACGGCCTCAGAACGAGAGGACGATGAGAATATCCTCTCTCGCACTGTGGAGCAGAGGTCTGATCTCATCTCCGGTGTGTACGAGGGAGGGCTGAAGGTGTGGGAGTGCACTTATGACCTCCTGGAGCTCATGGAGAGAGATGGAGAGACCTTTGAGAAGAAGGCCGTTTTAGATTTGGGCTGTGGTGCGGGGCTGTTGGGGATATTAGCTCTGAAGAGAGGAGCCAGGCACATCCACTTTCAAGATTATAACAGCACAGTTATTGAACAGCTCACAGTGCCTAATGTAATACTTAACTGCCAGGAGGATGATGACATAGAGAGTGATGATGACAAAGAAGGGAGGGGCAAAGGAAAGTTACAAGAGGAAGAAAGTTGTAAGAAGACATTGAAAGAGAAAGAAGCATTAAAAGATGGCAGCACGCCTCCAAAGAAAAAAGCCATAGACTTATCTCAGCACCCTCTTTTATCACGGTGTCGTTTTTTCTCTGGTGACTGGAGTACGTTTCTTTATTTGGTTCTAAAGGCCAGCCCACAACCCAAATATGATATCATATTCACCTCAGAGACAATCTACAATACTGCTTACTACCCCACTCTCCACGAGACCCTCCACAAACTGCTAGCACCAGATGGACTCGTCTACCTCGCCACCAAATCCCACTACTTTGGTGTAGGTGGCGGACTCCACCTGTTTGAGACATTTGTGGAGCAGAGGGGGACTTTCTCTGTGGATCACCTGTGGGATGGGGAGGAAGGACTTCAGAGACACGTAGTAGTCCTGCGTTTTAAAAAACCAAAAGATACTTGAATAAGGTGTTTGAGAACCTTATGTTCTGTTAACCCGTTAAGACCTAAGATGTTCTCCAAAACCGAAGCATTGTTTCAAAACCACCTTGTAAAATCTTAGGAGCTTACAGGATTGCAAATGTCTATGAAGACCTATTTCTCAGGCAGATAGAGACATGAAATAAAAACATTTGGCTGTTGTTGCAAAACCATTGTCCTTTCCTTAGACTTTGTGAACAGGTTTTGAAAAAAAAATAAAGAAGGCAAACTCTTCCGAGCTAGCCCCTCTTGTTCCTCCTCCTCAAACACGTCTTTTACTGACTGAGCCTTGGTCCGTGGATCACAAGTAACGTCTACTTTAATATTTTTTTGCCGGCTTAGAGCGCTAACAAGCTACTTTACATATAATGCATTTCGACTCTCCCATGAGCATTTCAGCGAATTATGATGTATTTCGTTCGACACATGTTTTAAACTATGCCGTTGTGGATGAGACGCTGCAAGAGAGACATACCCAAATGGCCTTAAAGGTATATACATGCATAAACTGCATCTGTTCTAAATGGGTTAATGGATTTATTGTTGTAGAGTTCAATAATTTTCATGAGAGCTTAATAAAATGATCAGAATTGTTTCCCAGTCCTCAATTTAATGCTTGTATGTTTTATGTTACAGCAACATTGTCAGAACATGGAATAGCTGTAATAAAAAAAATCAGTTTCATCTCCTATTTGCTCTCTGGTTACCTCCACCTTCTTTTACTTCCTATATAGACATTTGAATATCTCTGCTAGTAACTGAAGTGCAGTTGAAAGGGACTGTTACAGGTCTTTAGATGCACAGGGAGGAAAGAAAGGAAATGGGCTCAGTGACCTTTGCGAGTGATTTCCCCAGTGTTCAAACAGCAGCATGAAAGCCAGGCTTGTTTCTGAAGTCTGGCGTAAAATGTCAATTGCAACTTATCCCACCAGCCCAAGGATGGAGTTTGAAAGTGGATTCTGTAGTAAGTGCACATCAATGGTGGGACTCTATGGGGTCTCTGTATCTTCTTATTTTTAGTCCGCTTGATCCTTTCGGTTTTTACTTCCAGTTAAATTTAGTACGTAATCTAAAGTGTTCCAACACAAAAAGTCATCACATGAGGATGGACACGTCCTGGAAATATGCACATTGAAATACCAGAACTATGCTGTAAGTATTTCAATGCTGTAGTGAATCCCCATTTCAAGGAAATCTATTGAAATACTCTGACAGGGATTTTTTTGGAGGAAGTATAAATCATGTCCAGGGGAGTTCCTCATACATGAATTGGTAAAAGGAATGAGGAAATCAGTGGGTTTTTTATGCCGTAAAAAATACACATAATACATGTTTTCTAATTCAATTATCGAGTCAAAGTGTTTGAATATTACTCTGTGCTGCCTTGTGTAAAAGCTGTGGTTTTACGCTGTTGATCCATCCTGCCACGTCCATGTGACTGAACGAGATCAGTGTCACATCCCTGTCACGTTGGACTATGAACACAAGACAAATAAAGTTATTTTAGGAAGGTTTTTTTGTCGATAAAACACTCTTATCACACCTGAATAATGACGACTGCAACCACACAAATACTCTCATTAATCAGTCTCATCCTAAACGTGCCCATGACGCAAGTGGTGCCCTTTTGATAAATAATATTTAACAAAGATAAAACTGTTTTCAAGGAAACCCTGTCACCAGTTCAAACATGACTACAACACCCACAGCGTGGGGACAGAATTTCCTATTACAAGTGTAAATACACTGTTAAGTGTTACTTATTTCACTTTTGCTTCATACAAAGCATGTAACACAGTTTCTGTTTGCATATGCTCGCCCAGCAAACTTCCAATGTGTCTGCTTCGTCATCGCCTCTCATCTCGACAGCTGTTCATGGCCTGTGGGGGAATTCCTGGTTCTTCGAGTAGACGCAGCCTTTCCCCCACTTACTTTATGGGAACAGGGGGCAGGGCCAGTCAGATGGTTTTCCTCAGAAACTATTATGTGTTGATTCATTGTGAGGGGGTGTGCTGCTCACTCCCACTGTTTCCTTGTTACTGGGAAGTGACACTCGGGCTTACCGTACAGAGGGAGTGTATGAAAAACAGAGGAGGGAGGGAGGGAGGCTTATGGGCGATATGAAAGGTGGTGGTATTTAAGGTTCTTTTGCTCTGAATGTCAGACAGTGTGCTGTATCCCCACCCAGGAGCGGAAGGACTTGGGAGAGCGAGCTAAACATGCAGGTGAACTGGGGAGGGATGGCTTAAAGTGTCTCCATTCAGCTTGGAAAGACTGATTCTGTCGATTCAACGCCCTGAAACTGCTGGTTTGTTGAGATAGGACCGTTGAGGTGGGTTTAAAGTTTGAATCCAGTACAGCACAGACCAAGGAGGCCTTTATGATGAGATGGATGAGTGGTACATCCAGGATCTGGAAACTCTTCAATGAATGACAAGGGTATGTATATTGGTGGAAAACTGTCTCAAACTGGTGAAATTGACATTCTTTTAAATAACTGCTAAATTGTCTGATATTTTGACACAAAACTACAATTTACATATTTTTAACAGTTTTAAGATGTGCTTTTTCTGGCAAGGGGTAGAATTGAGTTCTTACAAATACCAACTTCGACATTTTCTGAGGACTCACAGTTTTATTCTGTTTGCCAGTCTGCTGTTTAATTCAGTGCAGGCTGAAATACATGGTTTATATCCTCGTGGGGAATTTCTCGTCTAGCAAGAGTCTGTAGAACTGGTTGTTTCCAAGTCCAACAGCCGGAAAGATAGTTTCCTGAATGTGTTCAGGTGTGGCCTTCATCAGAAAGTTCATTGTCCTGAATTGCATGTGTCCTAAAAGAATGTACTCTCCAACTGAGTAAACCACAGTGACTGAGATAACAATAAGGAAGTATCTCTCTCTTTCTCCCCCCTCCTCTCTGTATGTATATATATGTATATACTTTCGCCATAATAATGAAAGTAGAATGTATCCTTTAATTCAGTGGATGTTGGTTAATATCAAACTTAGTACGGCTTGGAGATTCGTTGACTAAATGTATTCCAGTGATTACACCATCCCAAAGTTCTTTTCCTGGGAGTGTACTGTGATAACTGATGAGTCATTTCATGCCTTGATCGGAGCACTATCAGCACCATGATCTGGTTCAGAGCTGCTTGCATCAGCCTGGTGGACAGACTTTCATTTCAGGGGTTGTGAAGCAATTCCAGGAATACTTAGATTAAGAAGACGGTGGAGCTCCTCAGATGACCCCGAGGAACTCTCCTCAGACTCGTTCTATAACCACAGAGCTAGAGCCACATATCAAAACTGCAGTTTGGAGGTTTGGTTTTCCACAGTTTTGTTTCACTTAGAATAAAATGCCTCTCAATTTGTTGCCAATTTCAGAAATGTAGA